ATCAAAAATTTTGAAATCGGTCATATTGACTAGTGAAGAGCCAAAAGACAACAGCTAAAAGTGCCAGGAAATATTCCTGTGGATATATCTGGAGATCCTTGCTGTTGAACAATGTGAGCTTGTATGCAGATCACTAGTGAGACTGAAGTGTCACATACGAGATAAACAAAGCTGAGTGAAGTTGTTGGATCCTCATGCATCAAAATCAATGGGAGAGTCCATTTTTTATATATATATATATATATAATCTGATTTCGACTTTGGTCCATCGTGCTGTTATGATTTGCTCCCCTGAAATGTTAGATGGAGAACTTACTAAAATTCGAAATATTTTCATAAGTAATGGATATCCCATCAATATTATCAGGCGTGTGATCGACAACAAAATCAGACGGTTTAAGGAGCCTGTGACATTCGGTCCTAGCCAATTCCCTGTTTATTTGAAGTTACCTTGGCTTTGGCAGGAAATGTCAGCTATTATTGGACAAAATTTCAGTGTCCATTCTGTCCACATACAATGCTGTTAAGTTGCGCACGGTTTCTCTTACTAGAACCCTGCTTCCTTCCTTTTCTAAAGATAGGCTGTCCTATTTTCATAAAAATTCTGTTGTTTATAAATTCAAATGCTGTTGCAATGCGGTATACATAGGATGTACCAATCTAAGGTTGGAAACGAGGGTGGCACAGCATATTCCTGCTTTTGTACGTTCAAGCAGTCCCAGCCAGCCTATAAGAAGAACAACTCTGTCAGTCCATGAGTCAGCAATTGGGCAACATTTGCTGGACAATGATGCTTGTGCCGCCGAGTACGAAGACACATGGTTTTCGGTATTACAGAGCGTTCGATCTATACATCATCTTCAAGTTTTTGAAGCCGTTTACATTAAGTCTCAGCAGCCCAGTCTGTGCAAATAGAAGGAACACTTTTTACGTTCCTTATGTCTGCTGGAGGGTCTGTGAGTTCCCCTTTTTTCTATTTTATATGCTCTTGTGGAACTATTTGTTTACATCCCCCCCCCATTCGATTTTAATTTATATAATTAAAATTTCTCTTTTAGTCAAGTTCCACCTTTCCCTCCTCAGTCACTTTATTGTCTTCGTATTCATTTATATTAAATATTGCCAACGAATATCTTTGACAAAGCGTTGACCGAAAAGTGCCTTAGATATGACATCCACTTTCTTTAAAGCTATATATATATATATATATATATAAAAACAATATTGAGGGACTTATATGACAAAGTGGAAAAAGTATGCTGTGATATGTTTTGTCCTTCAGGACTTCATTGGACTAAATTTATGTTGGTACAACTACATATGAGCAGGAACAAGGGGTGATGGGGATTATCCACTTGTCATACAATTTCCCATATATAGTCTTTCTTCAATATGCAGTTATACACTGCAGGAAAAAATCTCTAACCCTGATCTTTTCATCAAATGTGGCATCAGTGGCATTAAATCCTTTCTGATGCAATCACAGCTCAGATAGGCTGGTCATGTCATCAGAGTGATGATCGGATGCCGAAGATCCTCATGTATAGCCAACTTTTCATGGTAAGTGTAATGTAGGCCGTTCTTGGTTACGCTTCAAGGACAAACTTAAATACAATTTAAATTCTGCAAACATCCCTATAGAGGAGTTTGGACTCGCTGTTGAAAACCGAGCAAACTGGAGAAACACCTGCCACCTTTGAAAAGAATCATCTCAACCATCTGAGAGAATTAAGAACCAACACTGAATCTTGGGCCAATATATCAGCCCATATGATGGTTAAACCTTCAGCAGGTCCCTCGTGTGGACTTGTTTGCAAATGCTGTGCAGGATTGATGTCTCATTCGAAACATAAAAACTGAACTGAAAGACATTCATACATCAAAAATGATGGGAGAGCCCATCATATATAAGTTTGGTTTACACTTTCCTGAGAGAAGTATACTTTTTCTCTAGAAATATTTGAAATAAAGCAATTCTAGGTTTCATTTTTATTATTTCCCATGCACAGCTGAAAGTGATCAAATTAAAGATACCGAAAATTGGGGTAAATAAGCGAACATTTCAAAGTTTGACAAAATCCTTCCAAAAATGAGAATCAACTAAAATACACAGTATTGAAATAAGAAGCTAAACCATCAGCACAACACTTACCATAATTCCTGCCCAAGTATATCCAACAGTGATAGCTTTGTAGACATTACATATATCTACTTATTTCTCAATTTATTTAAAATATCAAGGACAAATAATTTGATGAGAAAATATAATTTCACATTGAATTGTATCTTATATTAACCTCAAAGATTAGTGATAATCTTGGAAAGATTTTTAGGTTTACTTTTTAAATATATGAAATTTATTACTACAGATTTTTTTTCTCTGTGCTATGTTAGTGATCATGCCTCTCCACAACTTCCTGTCCTTTATAAAGTTTGTCTTTTTACTATATCTCCTAATCCCTGTTCTGCCAACCATTTACACAAGCCTGTTAGGTAGGCTTTACTTCTTGTCTTCAATATGTGAGTATTAAATTTTCCAAACCCTCTTTCCTCATATACCCTAGAAATTTCAATTGTCTCTTTCTAATTGTAATTGTTTTTTTTTGTTTCTATTTTCTTTAAATCTTTGATGATAGATGCTTATTTTAGAAAGAATATTTGTACCATTTGTGAACATAAGATGGACATATATATAGTTTATATGGCTTCTCTTATAAAATCCCTTATCACATTTTTTCCTGCTTGTTGGTTTTTCATCAGTAGCCATACTATAGAAGTGGTTAATACAAACACAAACAAAATGGGATCTACTGTGTGTGCGTGTTGGTAAAATCACTACTACTGCTGATGTCTCAGTTTCAATTTCTTAGTTTTTAAGGTTATCAACAGCAAAATATATGAAGAATTGCTAATATTATAAGATATATATATATATAGAGAGATTTAATGAGTGCTTTTTGTTTGCAATAAATACATTGGCTCTTATATTTGATGGGTAGTATGTTAAGTGCTATCTGAATGGCCTTAAAATAAGTGGCATGGCTCCACTGTACTGTGTTACTCTGTCACATTTCACTTTTTTTTTCCATAGTGAATAAGAACTCATGGATTTAGCCATGCTCTAAGTACTTTTTGCCTTTTTTTTTCTTAGTCAGTGGTCAAAAAAGTTTACTTATGCCACAATTTACGGTATATATATATATATATAAAAAAGTGTGTGTGTATAAAAATAAAAACAAATACAAATTGATATTTATTTCTGGAAGTTTTTTTAATTTTTATTATTCTTCTTTGACAAGAAAAATTCACATCTCCACAAACAATACAAACCTAACTATTAAATGTGAGAAAATACGAAGCTTTCAATCCCAGAGTGCATTGCAAGTTACCAGTCACAGAGAAGTAGATGACATCTGAAGATCCTAGAAGCACAGGTAAAAAGCCAAGCACAAACATTTTAGGGATATGGGATGTGTGAATCTCATCAGAGAAAGAGTTCACTTTCTTTGTAATTTTAATCTTTTTTTTTTCTTTTTTCTTTTTTTTTTTTAAATAGATTCAAGTTCTTGTAATATATAAAAAAAAATTCATCTTGGATAGCAAGCTATAAAGTTGCTAATTATAATAACACTGTAGGCAGAGTGCATTGTATTGCTTAAAGTTTAGCAAAAAGATATGAGGCAAAGAGAATAGTTTGTTTTTTTTTTATATTGAAATTCTTAGATATATATATTTTTTTTTTTATTCACAAAAAAGCAACTGATTGAAAAGTATTATGAATATGAAAGAATGCTTTTCAATTATGACATTAATTTATTAGATAATAGGGCAGTTATATCTGAACAGTCAATGCCATAGTTGTGTTTGTGAAAGAATAGTTTTTTTTTTTTTTTTTTTTTTTTCAATCAATATTAAGATTTCTTATGGAATTTTTTCTTTTGCATTCCTGTCAGTTCATTTGTTGGCCACACAGAAAGCTACATATTAAAGCCAAGTCAAAACATCACTGTAATTAGCACAGATAGGGGGCATCACTGTGCATCCAGAGAATTATTACACTTGGCTGTTCTTTTCAAATTTTGGGATTCACAATATAAATCAAACACTTCTGGACTTTTGAAATCAGTGGACATTGATCTTTTACTTTTAAAAGGAATTTGTTTTCTTTTTGTTCTATGGATCAAAACATGATTTTGAAAAAAAGATTCGGTTTTAAGCTATTACGATTGAGATTACTGTGTAATAGCAGTAAATGTCATGTCTGGTGTTGTTTTTTTTTTATGTTCAAACAAGAATCGATTCAGTTTGTCAGGTCTGAGTGAAAATGGTCAAAACTTTCAAAATAGGCTGCTAGTATTTCTTTTTAGAAAATAAATTTCTTTTTATAGAAAATTTACATCATTTACAACTTCATCCCACCAGGGTAAACAAAATTAACTATTGTAGTGGCTAGAAAAATAAAAAATAAAAAACATTTTTGTTTTTTTTTCATTTCAAATTTTGCCAAAACGGACTGACAAGAAGTAAAATAAATGCAGAAATTAAATCCAACCTAAAGTAAGATTGAAATTTGTATGATGTTTGAAACATTACGGTCACTGTGTGCTCTTCATGCGTACATGTTAACCACTTGATAATATCCGTGTACATAATGATAATAATTACAAGTGGAGTAATTTGAATTTATTTATTTTTTTTTTTATAAGATTTTTTTTTTCTTTTGATAAAAATATTATGATAAAAATACTAGGGCACATTCATTTTCCATTCCATTTTTAAAGAAAAAGAAAATCTGATATAAATTGTTTAAAAAAGATTTTTATGGAAGGAAATTGATTCAGTTTAGTAAAAAATTATTAATGTCAAAATAACTGTCATTAAAGAAAAAGTTCTTTCTCTAGATTAGTAATTTTATGTAAAAAATTTTTTTAAATATATTTTGTTTTAATTCCTCAACAAAAGTCAAGGGGACATTTTTTTTTTCATGTTGTTGAAAAAGACTACCTTTCGCATGAGTAGTTAAGAAAGAGAGAAAGAATCGAAAAGTCTTTGAAAAAAAAAAATGTTGTGATAATGTTTATAAATATAATTGTATAAATTAAGCTGGCAGAAGCAAGATGCTACTCTGACAGTTTATGGTAAATAAATTGAAGAGTACATATTAATCGAAGTGTTCCATGCTAAGTAAATGAGTCTAAACTGAGTGGGATGGATTATTATTATTAATGTTATGATGCTAAAATAGTATTAAATTCTTAAACCCTACACATCATCTTCAAGACATTGACGCTGATCAAAATCACTAGGGGTTTGCATAAATTGGTCAATAATCTGTTGCATACTCTCACGAAGTTCTTCAGGTGTCTCATTCTGTTGTTCAACACGAGATTCTTCTTGGATGAAAGTTTCATCTCGCCCATCACGTATATATGTCTTTTTGTGAATTTCTTTTTTCATCATCAGGCTGAAAGGAAAAAAATTGAACATTTATTAATTTAGACTTTTTTTTTTTTTTTTTTTTTTTGCTTGCTTTAGAATGTAGAAATAAAAGAAAAAATAACTTAAGCCAAAGAAGAAACAGAACATATTGATTATGTATTGATTGCAAAAGACACCATGAGAGAAATCATGCCATTTACATCAGTGGAAAGATCTCACAAGGTGCATCATAGGATTGTGTGTGTGTGTGCGCCTGCGCGCGCATGTAAAATGTGCATCATGGGAAAAATGATCTTGAGTTTCACAGAATAGTTTTAAAGAGTTGTTGGTTCCAGTCTAGATCAGGAATTGCTACCCCCTTCCCCCCCATTTATAGACAGAAGCACACAAATGCATGCTGGGATTTCTTCCTAGCCAATAAAATAGGTCAGTTCTCAGTTTCATATGACTTGGTCCCAGTCTGTCTTGTCTTGAAGTCAGAAAACTGTTTGCTTATCCAAACTTGCTCTTGTCTTTCAACTCAATTCTTAGTTTATGAACTTTTTGTCATATTACTGTTTTGTCTTGCATATATTGTTTGCTTGCTTTATATTATATTTTGCCCTGTCCTTTTTTTTTCTTGTTACTGTTTATTGCAAACTTTGTCAGTTCTGTTTGTTGGTCAGCTTTGCAATTTATTTACATTTAACAATGGCCACTCTACAGGAATAATGGAATATTTTGATGTATAACTGCCTAGGTTTCAGTTTAAACTGATGCTTTTTTCTTCCTCACCCCCACCATATATTGTAAACGATTTGCTTAAGATTTGTAATGAAGTAGTAGAAAGATGAAACAAAATCCTAAGTTCATGTTTATTTGGTGGTGGGAGGAGCATCTGCTTAAACCATATCCTTCAGGAATTGGCTTAAAGCTGGATTTGAACAGATTTTATAACAGGCTTAATGTTTCATATGCATGAAAAACAGAGTGCAGGAAGCTGGGCAAAAAAAGTTAAGTTGTCTTGATTAATAGGACGGACAGTAGAAGAAAAGAGAATTTTATGTTCAACATAAACAAGTGATTCTTTTGAAACAAAATCAGGTACTTCTGGTACCATGTAACCAAGTACAACCTTCCACATCATACACAGAAGACCTGACCATGTCCCTTCAGGACATGGGTGATCATGGTTCTCCACAATTTCCTGTCTTTGTAGCTCTTAGTAAATTTTGTCTTTTTTGCTATCTCTCTTAAGCCCTATTCCACCAACCATTTGTTGTTTTCCTCTGTCCCTCTTGTCTTCAATGTCCTTTGAGTGTCAAATTTTATAATTTAAGCATACTACTAGTTTGGCAGTTAGGTCTCATCCTTTTACGGTTGAAATAGAAAAGAACTTAGTTAAATCTAGCTAATAGATTTCTTTTCTGCCAGCTTTCTTACTACATTCACTATGTTCAGGATGTAGGCAATCATCGCTCTTCACAATTTCCTGTCCTTCGTAGCACATAATAAAATTTCTTCTAAACCTTGTCCATTTTTCTCACTAATTAGGTTGTGCGTTGTTTTCCTCTGTCCTGTGAGTATCAGATTTTTCAAGCCCTCTTTCCTCATTATGTGCCCCAGAAATTTTAATTGTCTCTTTCTGATATCTGTCTATATTTCTGAGATGAGGTATTGTAATTATTAACATAACTCTTGTCTTCATCTTTATTGTCATGTTCACAGCATTTCAATCATAGTATGCTCTGGCCTTCTTCAGGTGATTTGAATTTCAAACTGAAGGATAGATTTTCTTGTGCCACGTCTCGATTATCTCTCTGCTATAGCCAGGTATTGAACTCACAACTCTTTGGTTCATGTCACTGGATTCAACCAACGCTTTTATCTACTGGGCTGTGTGTAACGCTTGTGTCCTTGAGGACATCAGTGTATGAATTTTGGGGACTTATAAACTTAATGTCTCAGTAATCTTTTTTTACCAGAGCTCATATTGCAGCATTCCTTATTACTGGTTCCCACTGTATTCATTTCTATGCTTAGCTGACTCAGGAGATTTTTGTGGTCTAGCAAAGCTTTTGTATTTTTCAGTTTTGAATGTTCTGTCTATTATTTCAACCTCATCCCACAGAAGGCAGTAGTCTCCCTTTTCCCTCCAAATGTGGTTAGCTACACCTGATTTTTTCGATTTTTGAAACCTTGTGAATAAGACAATAAATATGAGGACAACAGTCCAAACAATGTAGTCTCTTTCTTTCTGATGTTAAGTAACAGTATCCTTTTTATTTCCATTTTCTCTAAAACCTCTTTGCTCACATGTTCAGTCTATGGTATTCTAAGCATCCCTCTGTAAAAACACATTTCTGTTGCTTCAAGTCTCCTCTTCATCTGTGAGTAGATTGTCCAGAATTCATATAATATTATATAAAAGTTCCTTTTCCTTGTTTCTAACAAAATTTTTTGTTAATACTTTGCTTAGCTTTTGGAAGGCATCATTTGTGATCACAATGAGCCTTCAGACTAAAGCCATTCCCCTACCAGTCTTTTCTGGTAAGGTGGGTGGCTAAACACCCAGAAGGATTAAAAACCATTCCCCTCAAGACAGTGGAACATTCCCATAGAGACATCAGCCATTTAGCACAATGGAGAAGTCTATGATCCATAGCTATGCATGTAGTCACTGTGGGAATGGCATGCTATCACTGAGTGGAGAGTTTCTGAGATTGAAGTTTACACCCAGGTGGAGTGAACTCGGCTGAGAAGTTGTCTAGTTTTCCATATTCACCAGATATTAAACCATTATATTATCATTTATTGTGACCTTTACAGAAATTCACTTCTATTGAAAACTGCAAAAGGAACTTAGAGGACAGTACAGCTTGGCCGGGAAGTTTTCACTCAACTACCATATTCACCAGACAGACTGATGGATTAACATTTACTCTGATCTTTACATAATTCTTGTAAGATATGCAAAATAGACTTACCCTATTTTGCATAACAACTACAAATAAGTTAGTGATCATTTGGCATGAGGATACTTCTACATTGCAGATTGGAGGACTACACAATATATTGTCAACAATAGGGTCTCTAACACTATTGAACGAACTGGATTTTGTAGAAATGGGGATTCTTTGTTTTATCACCCTTGCTAGGGCAAACATAAAGTGGCAGGAGGGGAAAACTAGATTACAGCTCACTTTTGGCTTTGGCAGAAAGTGAGTCCATTAGAAAGATTTCTATTATGGCATATCTCAAAGAATTAGAAAATTTAACATTTTCAGAAATTTTGGATATTAAAAAAATAAAATAAAGGCTGGTTATTGCAGAGAGGACAGTTTCTCACAAGCAAACAAGAGCTGAACAAAACAATAATACATTATATACACAAGTTACAAGAGGCCTCCAGATTCTATGAGTTTGAAAAACTGGGCAAGGGAGAAATGGCCATAGAAGACATGTTGATAGAAGGTATTTGTGATGTTTCACATAAACACAAAATTTTAGAAGAATTACAACTGATTAAAATGTCCTTAGATGCATCCTGCAAACTTGAATTAAAGAAAAGTTATCACAAACTAAGAGTTTAATGGTGCTTTCATCAAATTGTTGGGTTGTTTTAAAGGAACAACTGCTTTGAAATTATTCCCATTATGGTAGTGAAATGTAAAAAAAAAATCACAGGAATAAATGTCTTAAAAGTTGATACAAAATTAATCAACAGTGTGAAGTCAGAATGACCTGACACAGGAATGTTAAAAGGATATAAAATGAGTATTCAATTAAAGGAAAATAAGCAACCCTCTGACTTTGTGTCGGACAAACTGTCCATTCACATGCTACCTTTTAATAGCTGGGGAAACTAAACTAAAAACAAGGCTGGAGCAAGGAATTTTAGAGCATGTTCTCCATGGGAATTGTAATTGCACCTCACCTATTGTTTTTATGAAAATCAGATGGAGATTACTGATTAGGTGTAAACCACAAAATATAGGTTTACTCAGATGGAAGCGTATGCCTTATGGTGTAAAAACAGCAAGTGTTATTTTTCAGAGAGCAAGTGAACTGGTAATGTTAAGAATATAATCGTTTATCAAGATGATATATGCATCAGAGCTTACAGTAAAGGAGAGATAAAACAAAAAACAGATTGTTTTAAATAAATTAAAATGCTGAGATTACTATAAACAAGGACAAATGTGTATCAAATTGTGACATATCTGGGATTCCAGATTTCCAAAGCCAATTTTTATAGCAGATATTTGACAAAATATAGAGAATTAATACAACCTTTTGCAGAGATATGTAAAAAGAATAGCAAATTTAAATGGACTCAATGGCAGAATATAACATTTGAAAATTTAAAGAAAGCACTGTTTTTTTTCTTTTGTGACCCTAAAAAAGAAGTGACTTTAACTTTAGATGCAAGTGAACATGCCAATTGTCTCAAGAAATTCACCCTATTCTAAAAGGTTAATATCAACCAAAGCTAACTATTCAAACATTAAAAACAAGTGTTCGTTATTGTATTGAGTACAGATAGTCACTTTTTTTTTTTTATTAGGCTGGAGATTTCTGTTGAAATCTGAATATAAATATAGTTTATAGTTTAATTAACTCCTTTCCAGGAATTAGTCACATCTTCTAGAATTTTAAGATGGACCATAAATCTCATGGCCTTTGACTTCAACAATATGCAAACAGAAACACTCTTCTGCATGTGAATGCTCAATCAAGACTAAAACACAACAATGAAAGATCAAACAATTCAGAATATAAAATATTGCACTGGATTGAAACTGATATATTACCTCTAAATCATCTTGCATTTGAAACCTTACAGGATCCAGTATTAAGCAAAATTGCATATAGAATAAAAAAAACCACAAATGGAGTGATTATAGGAGGTATCTCCCCCAGAACAAAGTGAACAAGTACACATTAACTATAAAGAAATGTCTTATATGTAATGGAGATGTTTTAATAGCACCAAAAAGATGTAATAAAGTGTACATAATGCTGCTATTCCACAATGAACATCAACACAGAATTAAAATTAGAAGTGTGGTGGCCTGAGTATTCGCATGATGTAGAAAAATATGTTCAATATAGAAATAAACAATACTTTTGTCAAGCTAAGATATATTCATGACCTAAAAAAAAAGAGCCATGTGCTCACATTCATATAGATCATGTGCATGTTAAAGGCATAAAACTATTTTTAATTTTAGTCAACTTGTTCTCTAGGTGACCTGAAGTGGTTAGAGTTCATGTTAGTCTCTGGCAATGAACCAAAATTTTATGATGAAACATTGTATTGGATGCCTCTCTTATATAACACCACCAAACAACCCTCAATCAAATGAAATAGCAAAAAGAATGGTGCAGACAGTGAAAATGGGGTTAAAAGCATTTTCCCCATCTGGAGACACCATAGATAGCTACCTACTGAGATTATTACTGAGTTATAGAACCATTCCAAATGCAGATAGTGCAAAAAGTCCCTGTGCATTGATGAAAAGATTAAATGTCCTATTCAACAAATGAAAAAATGTAGCACAAAAAACAGAATTAAGTCCAGAAAATCTGCATAATATTGTGCAAAAAGGAGCATAATACATCTATAATAATAATAAATGGACAGAATTTACTGGCTCACTCTTATCAGATACGAATTAGAATTGATGATGAAGAAGTCAAGATAGAAAAAGAAAAAAAAATGTGAAGGAACCTGAAAGGGAGTAAAGGATAAGAGTTTCTGATGGCAAAAAGTGCAATTAGGGAAGACGATATAGTGGATAGTATGCTTGAGTCAGAAGATCAGAATGAAGATGAGTTCAGACCTAGATCCCCAATAAAAAGAAGTCCACACCTCAAGAGTGAGAGAAAGGATCTCGTACTATAGTTAAAAGTATAAGATCAACGAAGGGCATAAAACAACTTCGTTTCCAGGAGGTGTAGTGAGATATGCAAAATGGACTTACCCTATTTTGCATAAAGTTAAACGACAACAAATAAGTCAGTTGCCAGTTGGCCTGAGGAGGATACTTCTACATCACAGATTTGAGGACTACACAACAATTCGCTTAATGGAAAGAAAAACAGCAATAAGAGTTTGAGGAAGATGTGATGAAGTTGGGTAAAGGATGAAATAAAATGGTAAATGTGTTATTTAATAAAGTTAATGCTGTAGATAAAATTTTTTTAAAAAATGTCTTTGTTTGGTTTATTAATTAAAAAGAAAATAACATTTTAACCAGTTCGGTAGGTTTATTTTGGTTTGTTTTACAGCATATCAATCTCAATAGGTTATTTAATCTGACAAGATTCCCCCCTTCCCCCAAAATATGTATTGTTGGTAATATTTTAAAAAAAAATGTAATGCTGGTAATATTTTCTTAAAAAATGTACTGCTGGTAATAATTTCTCCAAAAAAGTATTACTTGTATTAAAACCTATTTTTATACTTTCATAATGTTTTGACCCCTTGGGGTGGGGATTATCTATTTGCTCATAGCTGGGACCTTAACAGGTGCTACCGCCAACAGGTCAGGGTGGACGTGGGAATACCAGCAATTAAGAGGTGGTTCCACGCTCCTTGAAACCTCCTGATCAGAGGCTTTGCTGTGGGACGTAGTATCCAGGATGCAGATATAGTTTATCATCATACCCAGGATGCTAGTTTGGTAGGTTCATCCTTATTGTACAAAGTCTGTCTGGAAAGCAGATGGTCATTTTGATTATCTCAAGGACTGGTTGCCTGGATTTATTTGGTTAATAGTGAGATGTCACTGCGTGAACTTGCATACTGTGTGACCGTTGCATTTACAATAATGATTTTTCAGGTCTTATGCAAGGGGTTTTAGTAAAACATTACATTGCCCAAACCAATTTCCCTCCACAGTCAATATGTGACTCCCAGCTATTCTCAAAATTAAAATCACCATTGAAACACTGAATATGATTAATGGAGAATGCAACAAGTCAGCAGATTTTAATCTTGAAAGATGGCTAATTTTGAGAATTAGAATGGAAGCTGGGATAAGCATAAGACTCATAGGAACCTACTTTGAAGAAGACTAAGGCACAGTAGGTGAATGGCTAGAACCTTATACAATTATGTAGTAAAAATGTCAGATGGAACTTAATGGATAAGAAACAATATTGCTGCAACCAGTGACTTACCTGGTAGCCTGAGAACCATCATCAGTTTCTGAATCTGCAGCAACATCAATGCCTTCACGTTCTAACAAAAAGACAAAAAAAAGTCTTATTGAATTATTCAAAACATTTTAACACTTATTTTGAGATTAATTGTTTATGTAAGAAGCCATGATATCATGAGTAGGATTTAATAAACTTCTAATCAATCATTGCATTGTATATATATAGCGGAACAGCATATATAAAAAGCACAAAACCAAACAAGCAAGCAGATGCTAAAATTCCCACAGTCCATTTAGTATGTTAAGTTATAGCAAATACTAATTAAGAGTTGATCATTTGATACTTTTTGATCTACTGCTTGAAAACTAGTGCAAAATGATTATCTTTAAAAACATACCTAAAAATGTAGAAAAGGTACACTGACTCACTCTCATAGAAGAATTTGTAATAACCCACATTTTATGAATTTGTAAAAGCTTACTGATAGCAAGTGTTGATCTTGGTACAAAAAGGTGAATAAAAATCACTATCATAATTTCCATGCTGTAAAGCAGAATTTAATAACATTTGAAAATTTTCTTTTATCTAAAATCTATTTGAACATGTTATAGTCTTCAATCTATAAGGGATAAAAAAATCAAGAAGAAAGGGATTGTCAGTGGTTAGAAATTAATTTGAGCATTAATGACAGAATTTAAGACCCCCCCCCCAAAAAAAAAAACATGTCTATACAAGATATAGGCAATTATGACTCTTGTTTATGAAATTAAACCAATAAATAATAATAAAATATTTAAAAAAAAAAAAAAAAAATATAAATACATTTTCCCATAATGCCAGGAATAAAGGAATTAGAAAGGGTTTTGGATCATCTGTGTAATCTTATGACCCCCCTTCTGGAAATTACAAAGGTTTTCTCTTTCTAATGACATTGTTTGGACATACTTACTTCACAAATAGGGGTGCAAGGTAATTTGGTCATTCCAACTCAGTGCTAAGCTAACTTGGTTTTCACCATTTTTAAACATTATCCTTACTTTGAACCAAACAGAAAAAAAAAAGCAGACATACTCAAGAGAATTGGAACTTTGTTTCACTATAATAAACAAATTCCAAAGCCTAATCATACCATTTACTTGAAATTGATTTATTATACTGTCTGAGAAATGTTTTAACAGAGGATGGAAAGTACGCCAACAAAATATGAGCGTGCATTGTGATAGTGAAAGATGGCTTCCAAAGGCTAAGCAAGATATTAAGAAAACAGAAAAATTTTGTTAAAAATTAAATAGTCTTTTCTTTATTTCTATGTAATATCAACCTTCATATATGGCAATTTCCTCACAGATGAAGAGACTTGAAGCAACAGAAATATGGTTCTACAGAAGGATGCTATGGACAGAATGTGAACAATGACAGTTTTAGAGAAAATGGAAATATTTATACTAAACATCAGGAAGAGATAGTTGAAATTTCTAGGGCCCATAATGAGGAAAAAGGGCTTGGGAAATTTAATACTCACAGGACAGGTTAAAGGCAAGCGGAACAGAGGAAAACACGCAACCTACTTCACAAGTTTAGGTAAATGGATGGCAGAGCAAGGTTTAAGGGAGATAACAAAAAGACAAAATTTAAGAGCTACAAGGGACAGGAAATTGTGGAGAGCCATGATTACCTACATCCTGAAAGGACAAGGGACATAGACGAATACTGTAATTCTTAATTTTCTTCCCTGTGACTTTTCTCTGAATATTTTCATTGTAATTGTTCTGAAGAGCTTTCCTTTTTGGTATCTCAACTTTATGAATTTAAGCCTGGTACTAGATTGGCAGCTAGGTCTCATTATTTTATTGTTGAAATTACTAGTTGTAACTGTAAGTTCTATGGTAATAGTGTCTTCTCCCACTCACTTGTGGAACACTCTTCTGGCTTCCTGGTAGTTGGTCATTTCTATCAACTACGATCTTCAAAAAAACACTAAACTGAGTTTTTTTTTTTTTTTCCTAGGTTTTCAAATATGACACTTAGCCATCAAAAAATTGCAATACGAGCTCTGGTAAAACATGCAATGATAACAGCAAAAGACTGCAATATGAGCACTGGTTTAAAAAAAAAAACATGATTGCTGAGACATTAGGTTTATAATACACAGACGTCCTCAAGGACACATGGCACAGTGGATAAAGGCATAGGTTAGATCCAGTGACAGGACCCAAAGAGTGTGAGTTCAATACCTGGTTAAGGCAGTGGAGAACTTGGAGAAGGTAATAACTGACATCCATTAAACATGGCATGTGGAACTAGAACAGTCTACCCCAGTGAGCGAAATAAAGGGTTCAGTTTGACATTCCAACAACCTGAAGAAGTCAGGAGCATACAACGGCTGAAACGTTGTAATAAATATGGTGACAATAGTACGAATAATGTAAATAATGACACTTAGCCATCTTGAATCACTGAAAACCCCTTTGAGTTTTTCAGCTAAAAAGAGAGCAGATTAAAATTGTTTTGTCAGTGCCTTTCCAACTGAGTAATAGTGAAAGGAAAAAGTTCATTCAAGAACCATCAAGAGAATGGTAAATAAGTTTAAAAAAAGAGGGAACAGTAGAGAAGAAAATTAGATCATGAGGTCAAAACAGGAAGAGGGGTCATCAGTTCATAAGATGTTTGGCACATGAGAGAGGGGTTTCAGTGATGACAGTCCAAAGAGCAGTGAAAAAAGAATTTAAAATGAAATCATACGTGAAACCTGTAAGACACCTTGTTACTCCAGGATATAAAGTTAGAGGGTTGGAGAGGGTGAAGATCATCTTGAATAAGTTGAAAAATGATCCTGGAATATATATATATATATATATATATATATATATATATATATGAACTTTATTTCAATACTTCATGAGCTTCAGATCCTTAGTTATGATCAATTAATGATGAACATGTTGTTTTCGTTTATGATCAATTTCATCATGATACTTTTGTTAAGCTTAGAGAGTAATTATACAGTCCAATAGTGTTATAAAAACCTCAGAGAATTCCAGGAATATATCTTTCATCATTTCTAAGATACAATGGTTTAGAGCTTAATCTAACAATTCGACAATTTTTTTTATTATATATATATATATATATATATATATATATATATATAATATGTGTGTGTGTGAAAAGTGTATATAAATAAATATATATATATGTATAATTATTTATATATATTATATCTGTAGTACTTATTAGAAAGTGCTCAATATCAGAGATAGAGCTAACATCTATCCAACCAAATATATATATATATATATAAAATGTGTGTTTTAAGGTATGCTATATTTATGTGTAAATGCACTTAATATCTAGTATGAAGGATATGTAATGAGTGGACACTAAGGTCAACAATGAATGCCGAGTGTTTCATGCTTAAATGCAATCTTCAGGCCATGAAGATTGCATTTAAGCATGAAACACTCAATGTTGAGCTCAGTGTCCACACTTATATACGTGATTAAAAATATAGTTTTAAGGTATGCTCTATACTTAATATCAAGGATAGAGCATAAGTAAATATAAAAGTGGGCATTGAAGGCAACACCAAGTGGCGACAATCTGTTTCATGCTGTCAATTGTGCTCAAGCATGAAACTTACTGTTGCTGCTAGGTGTTGACTTCACTGTCCACTATATAATATATATTAGCCCAACACAATTGCTACAAAACCAAAATATTAACCTGAAAACTTGAGTCATGTTCTTAAATTGCCTAATTGGATTAAGACTTCCATATACATGGTGCTAGACCTATTCAGAAATATCTAAACTGTCAGACATATACAACCTGCTTTCTTAGATTAGAGATTAAAAATGGCTTCGAATGAGTGAGGCCTGTGGGTCTTGATGAAGACCATCCTCCTTTGAACATTAAGGACTGGTGCTACACAATCACAAACGAAGATCTGTACCAGATAACAGAAAATACATCACTTGAGGACTTTCAGCAGCAACAACAGTTAAAATGCATATGACATGTAACTCGAAGAGAAAATAATGACATAAGATATTGACATTCCACATTAATTGAAATAAGGAGTTAATGAAAGTCCCCATCAATACTGGAAAGAATGATAACAGTGGATTTGAGAAAATTGTTTTAAGAGAAAAAAATTTATAAATTTCAACTGACATTGGCACTGGCTGCTCAGTCAGCAAATGCTAAACCTTTCCTTATAAGGAAACAGCTAATATTATCATTACCTTCATGTTATATTCTCATCATCATCTGAAGATGAAAATATATTCAAAATATTAAAACATTTTTCCATTACTGTTTGCAAATAGATAACATGAGTCTTTGGTTTCAGATCAATTAATTAATAATTTAGATATTTAGTTGTATTGATCAGCACATCTCTGAAAATTAAATCTATGAATGGGAAGAGTTTTTTTGAAAGAAGAAATAAAATGAAGGCAATATAGAAAAAAAGGAAAATACCAAAAGTAGAAAAAAAAAAAAAAAATGGAAGTAAATCATAAAATTGAAGCCATGAAAAGTCTTGTTATCAAAGAATTTACTTACCTGAGAAAAGAAAAACTTTCCACAAATTATCACTAATAGAAATTTATTTTCTCTTTTCATTGCTTTTGGTCTTTTTTTTCAAGATCACTTTAATAAAAGTAATTATATTGGAATTGCATGCTAGATATTTTGAATAAAATAAATTTGCTTTTGCTAAAGAAAGCCAGTGTGAACCAATTTTCGAACATGCTTGGAAGGAAGTCTAACTACTTTTGCTTTTTTTTTTTTTTTTTCTATAGAGATGAATAGAAACAAAGATGGAAGCCATTCCAGGTTAGTTAGGAAGAATGAAAAATAAAGTCGAAATAATAAAACCAAAGGAAAGAATTAGCCCCTCAGTGACTGCAGTGCAATAAAATAGGTGGATGTGTTGAGAAAAATATTCAGAGATATCAGTGTCCCTTATAATGAGAGGAATACAAGAGGTTGTCACAGGATGATTTTAGGAACAGGATTTGGTACAATTTACTTTAAGTATAGATTTGTTTTATGAAAAGGAGTTTGACATTAACA